ATAGCTACATGCCTTCATTCACTGATGGAGATAACTGAGAATAATAGGAAGGTAACTTGTCAATACATATCACAAGCCATAATTTGACCCTATATTCCCATCGTAGGGATTTCTTCAAAGAAGTAATTCCAAAGAGAAAAGTATGTAAAAAGTCAGTATTTATTAAAGTTAGAAGATTTCCAAAAATTATTTGACCATAAAAATGATAAAATATATAGGCTGGATAAAAACATAATTAAATACTTCACCCCCACCAGAATGGTGATAATTAAAATAAAACACAGGCCGGAGTGGAGCCCAGGAGTTCAAGATCAGCCTGAGTAACACAGCAAGACCTCATCTCTATAAAAAAATGTAAAAAGAAATTACCTGGGCGTGGTGATATGCACCTGTAGCCCCAGCTACTCAGGAGGCTGAGGCAGAATTGCTTGAGCCCAGGAGGTCAAGGCTGCAGTGAGCTGTGATTGTGCCACTGCACTCCAACCTGGGCAACAGAGTGAGATCCTATCTCAAAAAATAAAAATAAAAACAAACAATAACAAGTGTTAGCGAGGATGTGGAAAAACTGGAACCTTTATACACTGATGGAAATATACAATGGTACAGCAGCTATGGGAAACACTGTGGCGGTTCCTCAGAAAGTTAAACATCAAACTACCTTATGACCCAGCAATTCCACTCCTAGGTAATACCTCCCAGATCCAGAAAGAGACAGTCAAACAAAAACTTGTATATTAAGTTCACAGCAGGACTGTTCACAATGGCCAAAAGGCAGAAACAGCCCAAATGTCCATCAGTTGATAAGTGGATAAGTGAAATGTGGTATATCCATCCACACAATGGAATAGTATTCTTCCACTAAAATGAAGCACTAATACATGCCACAATATGGATGAACCTTGACAATATTATGCTAAATGGAAAAAAATGCTAAATGGACAAAAGGACACATACTGTATGATTCCATGTGTATGAAATAGCTAGTAAACCCACAGAGACAGAGTACATTAGTAGTTGCCAGCAGTTGTGGGGAGGTGCAAATGAAAAGTGACTGCTGAGGGGGGTACAGGGTTTTCTTTGAAGGTGACAAAAATGTTTTGAAACTAGATAAAGGTGATGGTTGGACAATATCATGAATGCAATAAATGCTACTGACTTTAAACTAGCCTATGCTATGTGGATTTCACCTCAATTTAAAAATATATATATAATTAAAAATTTTTGAAATGTTAAGTGAAATTGGTATTAATTACAATTAAATGTTACAAGCATTCTCAGAACGGTTTCCTCATTTGTGAAACAAAACTGGTATTTCATTAAGTAGGCTGTTATCTGATTCAAAAGAAGCACTGCATAAATGTAATACTTTTTCTTAAATATAAAAATTCCATAGAAGAAAATGAAAAGTTTGTGTTAAGATAGTGGAATTATAGGTAAAAAATTTTATTAAAGCCCCCCACACTTTAAATGCAATAAAGCATCTATGCCTTTAGTACAGCTATTCTGTGTGAAACACCATGAAAAACTAGAATTCCACATATAGGAAGACACAGCTAAGTTTCTGTCACTAGACAGAATCAGAGATTTGGCTCCGTTTTTCTTTGGTGCATTTAGTTCAATTAAAAACAAAAATAAAACTTACCCTTTCAAAACGAGAAATCTTCATTGTTTTAAGTGTTGCAGCATCAAGCATCACTGGGGGTCCAAGTTCAAATACGTTGCGAAGGAATTCATTTGACTTATATGAAAGAAAAAGCTCAGTATTAAATATTAAAACCCTTTTTCACTACACAGAAAGACTTTGATGAACAATGTAAATGTATATGGAACCATTTATACCATACACAATATACAGGGAACCTATAAATTTGAACCTAGATCACTTATTGTCTTTCTGTTTCTCAGTATGAGAGCAAATTGTTTTCAGGCCAGGCTTGGTGGGTCAGTCTGTAATTCCAGCACTTTGGGAGGCTGAGGCAAGAGGACTGCCTGAGCCTGCGGGTTCGAGATCCACCCGGGCAACTTGGCGAGATCTCGTCTCTACAATAAATCAAAAATTAGCCAGTTGTGGTAGTGCACACCTGTAGTTCTGGCTTCTTGGAAGGTTAAGACAGAAGGATCACTGAAGCCCAACAGATTGACACTAGGGTGGCCATGAGCATGTCACTGCACTCCAGCCTGGGCAACAGAGTGAGACTCCAACTCAAAAAAAAAAAAAAAATTATTTTCCAAAACCTTGAATCAAAGAAAGTTACGTCAAGCTATGTACAAGGATATCAATAACATCCCACCAGACTTACACAAAACAAAGAAAAGAAACAAAGTTTCAGTTTTATTCAATTTCACTTTCAAAAATAAATTTACTGTTTTCTAACATGTGGAAGCATTCCGGATACTCAATCAACTTCAAAAGCTAGGTAAGTGAACGACCCTCAAGACTGCTCTCTAATTTAAAAACAAATGTGGGCCAGACTCAGTGGCGTAGTCTGTAATCCCAGAACTTTGGGAGGCCGAAGCAAGTGGATTGCCAGAGTCCACGGGTTTGAGACTAGCCCAGGCAACTTGGTGCGATCTCGTCACAACAACAACAACAACAAAAATTAGCAGGGCTTGGTAGTGTGCCTGTAGTTCCAGCTACTTGGAAGGCTGACGTGGAAGGATCGCCGGAGCCCAGCAGGTCAATGCTGGGGTGGCCGTGAGCATGCCACTACACTCCAGCCTGGGCAACGGAGTGGGACTCCAACTCAAAAAATAAAATTAAAATGAAAAATAAAAGCAAATGTATAGAAAGAAAGTCACTCACTTACCTGTAAATGGTACTGCATTCCCGATCCAAGAATCTCTTTAAAAGTGTCATAGGTGTGCTTTTTGACCCAACAATCAATATACATGCGTTCAGGACCAAATTTAACAGTTTCTGTTGGAAAATCCCGTTCCTAACCAATAGAAAATTCAAAATTATCAGAGGCACTAAAGTAGCCAAAAGGGATTTTATATAAACACAATTTCTGAACAGATATGAGGGAAGACCCCAAAAAGCCTGGAATTTATTTATAAAAAATTATGTATTTATTCTTACATTTTAAAACTTCAGTCACCCTCAAAGCACTCTCCATTTGATGCAATACACCTATGGAGATGCTTTTTCCACTGCTCAGTTTCTGAACTCATCCATTTTGATACTTTTTAGTGCTTTTGCCATTTTTTGTTTTATCACTTCCACATTGGCAAAACGATTCCCTTTGAGGACATTTTTCATTGGAGAAACAAAAGTTGCTCAGGGCAAGATCGGGGGAATAGGGAGAGTGGGCACTGAGGTCATCCACGTTTGGTCAAAAACTGTTGAACACTCAGCAAGGTATGGGCAGGTGCAATGTCATGGTGTAAGAACCAGTCATCTACTGCCACAACTGGGGGCATTTCTTCTGCAATGCAGTTTCTCACAATGCTAGCTAGTACACTGATGCAAATGGGTTCCTACACTTACCCAGTGGAAAAAGATTGTACAAGGGACCTGCCCTCCAAAGAGATAATTCTGGGCTTTTGGGGATGCCCCCCTCATATATACATGAATATATACATACACATTTACTGTGGTCCTTCACATACTGAAAGACCATAGAACAATGGGTTTAAATTTCAGATAAATGAACAATATGGTTTAAACAGATACTTCCATACCTAAAATGTGGACTAAAAACTACTATCCTATATGCAAGGGTGTAGAATTTGTCTCGTTTTGGTAGACTTGAAAGCACAACTAAGTTTGAATAAATATTAATGGTAAAAACTATACTATTGTGAACATTAAACATTTTAATAGCTCTCAATAAACTTGGAGAAAAGGTCAGATGTTTGTATTGGTCTAGGATGGGAGAGAAAAGGCTGTAGAACAGTCAGGAAGACAAAATGGCACCACTGGCAGTGGGTGAACTGATGGGGAACAAGGATCTAGGAAAGGGAGTGAAGATAAGTGGAGTTAATAGACCAAGCAAAAAGGAGAGTCCCAGCAACTAGAGGGCTCCAGAGCCCAGGCTAGGCTTAGAAGACAATAAAAGGAACAACAGTTGAAGATTTGAGCAATGGAATAATTCTGCCAGAAGACCATTTCTAAGGTATAAACATGGAAGTGCAGCCCAAGTGAAATGGAGATAGAAGTCAATAGAACAAAGAACAGGATTTTCCAAAAGGATAAAGAAGCCACTCAAAATGGTGGCAGAGCTTGGTAAGGAAACTGGCTGCTTAATTCTTTGGTGAATCATGAATACATTACTATTACTATAAGGGTAACCAGGAAGGGAGAAGCTGACTGCCACAGCAAGAGGAGAGAGGAGACGGAACTTCAAGTGGCAAGAAAGACTACTCCAACCGCCTTTCCCCACATCTACTTGCTCTTTCTCACTCAGCAGATACAATATATAATGTACTGGAAAAGAATGTGGACTATAGACTTACATGGATATGCCACTCACTGGCTTGTGATTTCAGCAAGTAACTTAAACTATTTGTTTGTTCCCTTGCCTATAAAATGAGGCTATCTCTACCACTGCTCAGTTAGGGGTTTTTTTTTGTTTGTTTTTAGATTATAAAATCCAGAGTAGATATAAAATATTACCATAATTCTATTAAAGTCAACATTAACAGAAATATTTATCTCTAATTTATAATCCTAGGTTTTGCTTTTTAAAAGTAGATTAAATTGACAGTAGGGTACACATGGTCATTCATTGGCATGAGGATTATTAGAGGTATAAGAGTGAGCACACCTGCTATGTAACAGGAGCTCAAAAAGCAGCAAAGTTCTATTATTTTAACGTTCTTTATTTCAGAAACCACTATAACACCAGGAAAGAACTCTATTTCCCACACATTTTCTATAAAGTCACCGATATCCTTACCCATTCATCCCTCCTGCAGGTAACAGATTAAACTCCCTTCCCTCCCCAATTCAAGGCTAATCCCAGTCTTTCACTTATATCCCCGGCCCTCCATATCTGTGGATGCCACATCCACGGATTCAACCCAACCGTGGATTGAAAACATTCAGGAAAAGAAAAATGCAACTGTACTGAATATGTACAGACTTTTTTTCTTGTCATTATTCTCTAAACAAAAGTATTTATCCTAACTTACAGACCTACGTTTTGCTTTTTAAAAAGTAGATTAAATTGAAGACAGTAGGGTACACATGGTAATTCACTGGAACATATCAAAGCTGGATCTCAGGTGGGGCCTCAGCATCTCCAGCTGAAATTCTCATTCTACATTTTCATATACACATCAAGTTGAGTGACTAGTTGATAAAATAGTTATTCTTAAAAGAACTGCTTGCTCAAATAGCAACAGCTAAGAAATTTTCTCTTTAAATTTAAGAAATATTTCTTACCTAGCCAACCAAAAGCAATTGCTAAAGACTTTAATGTTCTCCAGTGAGACTACCCTTATCCTACAGCTCATTTCAGTCATGCATTCTAATCCATGAAGGTTTCTAAACCAATCTATTTGCCATATAGATTGAAGCAAGTTAGAGGATTACAGAAAAAAATTCAAGCATCACACAATGATTTTAAGTGGGCTTGTTAAGATCCTGGGTTTTATTATTTGGTTTTTAGTACCTAGCCTTCCTAGAGAGATCACAGAGGTCTTTGTTTACAAATGCAACTGTTAAATTGGAAACTGAGAGATAGACAACAATGTATTATATTCACAAAAACACTGTACTAAGCATTCATGTGCTCAGCACCACTGCTTAAACAATATCATGTACACCAAGGTAAAATACATTTCTAGTAATATGGATAATTTTATTTTTAAACCTATAAAACAAGTATCTTCATGCACTAGCATTATATTTTCCTTTGTTTACAAAATGGTCTTCACTTAAGTTGTTAAAAACCTGCTAAGTCTTAAGAGGAGGAATTATTTTCATCAAAGGTAAAATTCAATCAATAAAATGACCCAATTGTCAAGTTTAGTCTGAAACAATCTAATTTCTAAATGAGTAGCTGTTACGGCATAGAAGAAGCCTACCTCCACTGCCCTCAGGACATCTCTGAAAACCGACCGCTGCTTTCTCTTGTCCACTTTGGCCCGGTGCTTATTTCCATCTGTAGCCAAAGTCCTAAGCATCTGCGTCAAAGACTCCATATCTTCATAAAAAAAATCCTGGTAAGGAAAAGCAAGTTTGTTTCATTTGTTATTGCCTTTTCTTTTCCAATCTCTTCTAAAACTAACAAAAAACAGACTACCTTTGGAAAATCTCCAGTTGCACAGAGCAATGTTAATCTTTAGGTTGGTAGAAAGGCACACATAAACACATTTCTGTGTTCTCCTTTCTAAGTATATGCATTTAACAAATACCTATTGTGCTCCCACAGTATACAAGACATTACTGGGATTTCAAAGACGTTGAGTCACATATACACAACATGGGTTTTGCAGACAGAATATCCAGTTTTTAATCACAAGCATCCACCACTTGGATCTATACATTCCTGGGAATAATTACATTACCAATCTGTCTCAGGTTACTCTTACATTAACAGTTAATACCACCCACATCTCAGTGTTTTTTATGAGCATTAAATATAGAAATTAGAAATATAGAAATATAAAACACAGTACATAAGCATCCATTAAGTTATAGCTCTTACTGATATGATATAGCCTGTTTTAATCTAACATAAATACAACAAATTGGTCAGCTGAAGATAATCATTTCATATCAAAATAACAGCTATAATCAAATAGTTTCAAAAGATAAATGGAATTGGTATGAAACTAACCACAGAAAACTTCTACAAGAGTTTAGGCAGACAGAGTGAGATGCTTACGGTCACAGAAAAAAAAAGTCATTCCCTAAATTAGTATTTCTATACAGAAGTCACTGGAATACTGAATATAAAGAAGCTGGATATTGGATAGCTATCATAAGTATTTAAAAATCGTATGAAAGTCTAACATCAAAATAGAGCTGATCCCTTCCCAATTCACTGCAAAGTGCTGAACACTATCTCTAAAATGGCTTTATCTATTCAAGCACAAAGATTTCTTCCAATCCCTTCTAGTCAAGGCAGAATATCTTTGTCAATATTTTTGACCCTTTTTTACACAGGGTCAGTTATTTTATAAACAAAGGCAAGAAACAAGAAGAATGTTGAGTTGCCCCTTTTGAAGAATAAAGTCTAATGATTTCGGATTTAGCCCCAGGAAGTATTTGGTCTTTGGATTATCTTTTTTCCCCCTTTCTCTATACTGTATCACCTCCTTTGTCAGCTCAGGTGGGGAATGGAATATAAAGCACTGGGGAAGGTCTTACTATATTTTGGTATACTTTCCTGGGTCAGGCTTGGACCAGCATATCACATGGCTCCCAAGATCTGTAATTTGGTCCACCAAGTAGTGTCTGCCTTACTTTAAGTTAACGTAGAGTTCCTAAAAGACAACTAGTCTACTGCCTGACAGGAGGAGGCAATGCTTAATTCAATCAACACTTAAAGATTAACAGCCAACACTTACACTGCTTCTGTCTTATGTTCTTGACAATTCTATAAGGTAGTTACTATTATTTTGTCCATTTTAAAGATACGGACAATGTGGCATGGAGAAGTTACCCAACTTTATTCAATTAGCAAGGGTGGCAGACAGACCTGAACCTCAGCAGCATAGCTCCAGAGACCACTCTTACCTACTTGGTTATATGACAAACACATACAGTAAACTAGAACTCTTACAAAACACTGATAACTCCTAATTTCAATTTAGAACAAATAATTATTAAAATCCAACCAACGCATTCTTTAAAAATCCTAGAAGTTAACTATTCAAAAGATTTTTTTTCTGAGTCTCCTAGGCAGGAGAATTCAACACACCAGTAGATTTCTTTTATGAGGGGGTGTTGTGCAGAGGCAGGGGCATTATTTCACTTTGTCACCCATGCTGGAGTACAGTGATTCAATAATGGTTCACCCAGACTTGGCCTCCTGGGTTCAAGTTCTGCCTTAGCCTCCTGAGTACTTGAGACTATAGGCATGTGCCACCACACCTGGCTAATTTTTATCTTTTTTTAAATAAAACCAAGGTCTCACTATGCTGCCTAGGCTGGTCTCGAACTCTTGGGCAATCCTCCCACCTCTACCTCTCAGTGCTGGGATTACAGGCATGAGCCACTAAGCCCAGTCACACTGATAGATTTCAAAGTTAAAATCACAAAATAATTATGTTAGCAAAAGACTCTGAATTAATTCAATTGCTATAACAGCCCTATTTTATTTTATTTTTTTGAGTTGGAGTCTCACTCTGTCACTCAGACTAGAGTGCAGTGGCCACTCCTGGCCACTGCAGCCTTGACCTGCTGGGCTCCGGCGATCCTTCCACCTCAGCCTTCCAAGTAGCTGGAACTACAGGTGTGCGCTACCACGCCCAGCTAATTTTTTATTTATTGTAGAGATGAGGTCTCACCAAGTTGCCCAGGTGGGTCTCGAACCCTCGGGCTTAGGCAATTCTTTCACCTCAGCCTCCCAAAGCACAGGATTACAGGCTAAGCCACCAAGTCCGGCCCTAACAGCCCTATTTTAAATCTGCCTATGTATTTCATCAATATCCTGGTTTAATTAATTTTTGAATATAATAAAACTACCCCACCCTCACACATAAAAAGCTTATTTACTTTAAAAAAAAAATGGCAAATCCAAACACTAGGTAACCCAGTTCATTTTTGTCCTTGAATAAAGACTTAAGTCAAATGAAACATGTTCAGATGAGTTCTCCTGGCTATCCTTATGATTTATTAAGTTGGAGACAAAAGATATGTGTATAATTTAAACTGCATTATTAGTTCACTTTTAAGATGTACTTCAAAGGAAAATAAGAAAAGAAATTACCACGTCTAGCCAGTAGAGGAACACTGGATTAAAAACTGGGACATACAGGTTCTGTGCCTTGAGGTTACAAAACCATTAACTAGCTCAGTAAAATTAAATTGAATGCTAAGAGTCCAATTTCTCACATAAGGAGAATCATTAGCTATTGACAGCAGTAACTTACTTTCCATTTCTACCTGCTATCCTTCAAACTAAATGGAGTGGGAACTATAGAAAGACACCTCACACATATAAATTTTAAGAATGTAAACACTTTTAAAACACAGGCCTAGAATGCAATGCAAAGAACTATATATGGTAGGCAATTCAGAATACTGTACTAATCCTATTTGGAACTATTCACTGCTAAGTAACTTAACCGCAGAAAAAATTTCATTCTGTAAAGAATCGTTCTCCTTAAATTAAAAAGCTTCTAGTAAGTAATTCAAGGTTAATAATAATATCTCCTATTTAATAACTCATTTCTCATATATTTGAGTTTCCTTACTAGATCATTCTTGTATTTACTCACACAATGCCAATCACAACATCATGTCAATAAATATGGATTCAGTGTGAGGGCAGTAAAAGCTGACCCTCAATTCTAAATATCAGCACACTATCTGAATCAAGTAGCTAAGAACAAATTCCTCCTTTCCAATGGTAAAATTTTGGCATTCCTTTCAACAATACTTAAAATGGAGATCACAAACTAGGGTGACCAAATGTCCCAGTTTGCCTGAGATGAGGGATTTCTAACACAAGACTTCGGTGCTAAACCTGGAACAGTATCAAGCAAACTGGGTCAGGTAATCAAACTATCACAAACTCAAATACTTTTGAAAGCTAAGCCGTGTTAACTAATATCTGTGAGCAGACAGTAGATGGGAATTGCAAAGCACATGTCCCAGTCTAAAGGGCAATGTTTGATTCCACCCTTGACTTAGAGACATTAAACAACTATGACTAAACCCATCTCATTCCAACCCTATGCTGACTTAACATTTTATTCTTTTACCAGATATTTATCATAAAGCATCAAGTTCCTGAATTATCTTGATGTATTGGGTATATGAGAAATCCAAGCAGCTCCATACAGGTTACTAGATAACTCTCCATGAGTAATAGAGCACCCTAACTTCAGTTCCATAGAAAGCAAAAATCCTGTAATGAACTACACTCAAATATTGCTCTACCAACCCCTACTGGTTTGTACTCTCAGAAGTATTATGTAGCCACTGCCAAGGAGCAAGAAAATCAATCACTGGGTTCTCAAGTTGGCCACGCTCCACAGTTATTATCCAATTCTTAATTGCAAAGGTAACAATGCAATAACGGGCTTTGTGACACAGGCTTTTTCCTCTGCCAACTAGATACTTACACTCTCCAGTCCTCTGGCCAATTCAAACAGAAGTGCCAAAGATTCGCCAGCAGCTATTCTCATGTTAACATCATCACAAGAGAGAAGGCTTGGAAGTTTATGGAAATGCCTATAAAACAGTCATAATTATGTGAATACAACCAATTATGTCAACTAAATGTTGCTTTTATAAAATCTGAAACTGAAAATACATACATCTCAAGCTTTTTCTTCACCTCATTGATTGGGCATATGGTCAATAACAGTGTCCATGCAAGAAGTGAACTGATATGAAGCACGGTATTAGGGGTGCTGCAAATGATATTAGTGTCTTTCTCTTTGAGATAGGACTTGGTGAAGATATTTTCCAAACATTCCAGAGTTGAATACAGTTCCTAATGCATAAGAATATGAAGTAAGATAAACACTTTAAATTAGAAATAACTGTGGATAACTGGAGTCAGTGTTTTCTACTTACAGTAATGTCATCTGTGGCAATAAAACAGCAAACACCAAAGCAAGTTGCACACTAAAAAAAAAAAAACCAGAAAACACATAGATGTTAGTGATTGTTGTAATTTTATTGCTTATCAATTCTACATCTTCCTGCTTTTATTATTCAATGAGAAAGTTTTCTCAATGTGACCATATTAGGTCCCAAATATAGTATATGGGGGGCTGGGGAAAGAGTATTGGACCAAGTGTCAAAGGAAGAGGGTCTCTGCCTAAGCTCTGCTACCAAACTCATAGTAAGTGATTCCATTCCTCTTGGGTCTTCTTTTATTAATCCATAAAATCAAAGGAGATAGTGTTCAAATGAATTACAAAATTTCTAAAACCATTTGAGCTCCATAGTCTGTGATTTAAATTACTGAATTTCTTTTTAATCTGCATGAGTAAAGCACTCTGAAGGGGTGAACTAACTACCTCCTCATTGTTTCCTTTTTGTATGCAGTACAAATGCCTCATATATCATTTTAAACTTCAACTCTAATTCAAAGACATAGATGAAGCTTGGACATCTAAGATAAAGAAGACCACTCTCTTTATTAAAAACTTTTAAAACACATTAAAATTCCATTGGTTTTTAAACTTTTAAAAGCATTTATACCTTTTTGGTTTTATGAAGACTCTACTATGAAAACTTCTAAAAGAAATTAGCTTCCAAGAAATAAGCATACAGAAGCAGAAATCTCATAAGTGAGCACAAAGGTAAAGCTATCTAATTAATTGTCCTTAGACTTCCCACCTAAAGAAGGATCTCATTAATTCAGATTTCACTCATTTTGAAGTACGTTGAAAAGAGGCTTGGGATCCTATAATTGCCTTTTGTTGAGGTAAAGTGGCTAAACAAGTGAGCACAAAGGTAAAGCTATCTAATAAAGTACACTCAGAACACAATACTTACAAACAACCTGCTTGCAACATACATAGCCATCGATTCCCAGAACATTTTGCTTTGACAACTTAATCCGTATAGAAAAGAATTTGTAATCTGAGATTTTTTTTTTATTTTGAGTTGGAGTCTCACTCCGTCACCCAGACAGGAGTGCAGTGACATGCTCACAGCCACCCCAGTGTCAACCTGCTGGGCTCTGGTGATCCTTCCACCTCAGCCTTCCAAGTACCCTTTTCTCCACATTTTGTCACTAAAATTCCCTCATGTTGTTCCAAATACCACTAAAGCTTTAAGTCTGTAAAGTCACCATTGGTGTCAGGTCTAGGTTTCCGTTAGTTCTGTTCCAGTCCCATGAGGAGGCTTATTATATTAATCTGCTTGGTATCACTATTTTATTTTCATTTTTTTCATCCCGGGAAAAACTGGATATTGGTAAAATTTAAATAGCCTAAACACTAAAGAAAATTTTAAACCTGTAATCCCTTCTCCTAAGTAAACAACAAAAGCAAAGCTACATCTTCTTTTTTGATGCTCTAAGAGAAAAGGCAGATTAAAATTTAGGACTATCCACATTTAACATGAATTCCACCTGCTAATGTGAGGAAGGATCACTTTTAAAATTTAGAGCAAGTCAGGAGTACAAAAAAGAAAATGCCCTTAAACGACAACCACAAACTTCCATGCCACTAAATTGTGACCATTCCAATTATCTACACAGTGGAAGGTTTTCTTTCTAAGATTTCAAAAAATACACCCATAGTGCTGTATGATTTAAAAGTTGCACAAGTCCACCCCAAAATAGGGAAAAAGGTAAATAACAAAAGCTATTTAAATATTTGAGGATTACAAACTACTAGAGAACAGAGATTAATACGAAGTTGCTGAAGTCCTATTTTTTTGCCTCCAGGGTAAACAGACTTGTCCAGCTTCCATACAGTTGATAAACTAAAGTCCTGGGTGCAGAAGTGATATGCTTCAGCCTGAGCCTGTCACCTAGCCACCCTACCTGCCATATGGAGTGAATCAGCACAGGTGGGCAGAGCCACAGGATAAAGGCTTGGGGTTCCAGCCAATTTGCATTGAGTAATGATATCAGCAAGAAGTAAACTTGCTAAGATTTTAGAGTTTATCTTAAGTAATTCCAAAGAATAAGCTAACTTGAATAATCAATATTGAAAGTATTAAGATGTTTCAAACTTAAACTGGTTCATTCATTAAAACAGCTTTGGAGTCACATATTATTTTCCAAATCCACTAAGACTATCTTAGATGTTTCTGTGATACAACAAAGCATGTTCATATAATCATTTAAATCAGTTATTAGTACACAAAAACAAAAAAATTCAAAAACCTATCATCTAAAACCAAGTGTCACGAATGGTATCAACAATTAGACAATTTCAACTTTCTCAGACCCTAAAACTGGATGACTATTTCACAAGTTTCAGTCTTCTACATCCATCCAAATCCACCCACATGAATATGGCATTCATCTTTTTATAAAGACGTATAGGTCCCAGCAGCAACCCTGCCCCCCAGAAAACCCATTACATTTCTTAGAATAATAAACAGCTACCAATAAACATTAAGTCTCTAGATTGTTTAAGTTCTAATCAAAATTATTCTACAATCATCCTAAATAACTCAACAATATTTATTATCAGTATGAAATTTATAATTTCAAAGATATAGAAATTTGGTTTCTATGGGATCCTCTTTGGAGTCTCAGAATATTTTTTAAAAACTGTCATGTTAAGACTGCTCACTAAAACTAAAAGCCGAATGAGAATAAAATATAAACAAAAACATACTATTTTCCTAGATTATTCATCAGAATGGGGCATGACTAGATAGATCTGTAAACTTAAAAATTTTATACTTACAGTTTGCCTAGCTTGGATACTAGCTGCCCCATCACAAATGATTTTCTTTAAGATTGGTCCAAGAGTTTTTAAAATCTCTTCACTCTCAATTCCGGGGCCCAACTGAATACAAAGAACAGATGCTAATGCTGCAGCTGCACGTTGCTCATCACTCTTACCTGTTACAAAAGAAGTCAAGATGCATCTATGGTAGTCTTTTCAGTGGACTGACTCATTAAGACAGCAACTTCCCAAATTTGTTCAATGACAAAATAGCATCTATCACTCATTTATAAAACCCTTCCTATCCGCTAGGCTTTGACCTAAGTTCTAAACTTAGTGAGGTCAAAGAGCATAAGTTTTAGAAGCAGATCAACTGCACTTAAATCCCAGATCCCACTTACTAGCCAAATGTGCATCAATTAATTATTCTTATTCTCTAAACAAGTTTTCTCATCTGCAAAATGGAGACCAGTACCTATCTTAACGAAGTATTACAGTGGTTCTACTAAATAATGTGTTTTGAGTCAATTTCTGTGTTCCAACTCTTTAATGTACTCACAAATAATGCTGAAGTAGCCCTTGTTAATTTCCTAAGCATTTCAGATGTACACAGCCCGTAAGGTAAACTTTCAGTTTTCCCCATCAACGTGTTTTAAATGAATCAAAGAATAAAATATAAACAATTACCTAAAATAATAGAAAGTGCAATTATACAAAAGTAATTGTAAATTAACTCTCCAGAAATGTATATGCCAAAGGGTTTAGGCAAATACTGAAATTATTACCTGATAAATTTTAAAATTACAATATATGCAGACTGGAATGGATTTTTATTTTATAGAGACAAGGTCTCACTCTTCCATCCAGACTGCAGTGCAGCAGTATAATCATAGCTAACTGCAGCCTCAACCTCCTAGGCTCAAGTGATACTCACACCTCTGCCTTCTGAGTAGCTGGGAATACAGGCAGAAGCCATGACACTCAGCTAATTTTTTTTTTTTGGTCTCACTATGTTGCCTAGGGTGGTCTTGGAACTCCTGGCTTCAATCGACCTCCTGCCTCAACATCCCAAGGTACTGGGATTTCAAGCATGAGCCACCTTGCTCCACCTAGAATGGAATTTTTAAAGTACAACAACCACTATGGGAGATAGTTATGATGTAAAACACATTACAAAGGTATTGTGATATCATTAAAAAGTTGGTTCTGCTATCAACTACACCACTAACATGTTATGTAAGTTTAGACCCATCTCGTTTTTCCTAGGCTTTTCCTTATTCTGAACAATGAAAGGGATGAATTTGAACAAGGGTTTCTTTCATTCATGACAAAACTTCCACCCTCAGGCAAATTGAAAAAAATAAGGACATAAAGCTGATTTCACTCAACTTAATGCATATTCCTACATTTTTGGTGCTAGAAGTATTTTTCAATAAAATAATGATAGTAGAAGGTGATTATTTTCACAACATTTTTACTTGGCAAAATAAGTAAACTGATGCAAATCTTTTTAATTGTGAGAGTTTATGAAACTGAAAAGGCTAGTAACATCAGACTTTAAGGTCTGGTGACACTATCTTTAAGATCTCTCTTTCTCTTAAAATTTCTTCATTATAACAACATAGATTCCAGAATTTCTATTACAAAGTTCTAGAATTCAAAGATTCCAAGGGATAACCTGAAAATGATGTCATCTTCACATATCATCAATGTTTTAAATATGTACAAGGGAAAATGAACTTGATGACTGGGGCACTTTCAATTTCAGAAAAATGAAGTAGAATGATTTTCTGAATATTTTTTAATGTCTGACATGCTTTCAAGGATTCCAGATATAACAAGAGGATGGCAATCACCTCTTTTGACACAACAAACGTTGACAATCTACCTAGTTTCAAGTTACTCATTAAATACACAAAAATAAAGTTTCTAACAAGTCTCATTTTGAGTTACAGCAAGTATGGTGGAATCCTCGACTATCAGCAAGTTCATGAGCAGGCCAGTGTTCTAGTGTAATTAACGTTAATACAAAGAAGGTAGCAAATTCTTGATCAGTTCTGCACCTCTGATTCAAAAATAATGGCATTACCTTTTTTCAGACAGCGTTCAATGCTATCCGTTAAAGTCATTCTTCTTTCCAGAATAAATTCGTAAAGCATTTTTGAAGCCAGTGCATTTTTAATACCTTCAAGAGCTGCCTGCCTTGTCTTCGCACTATTTAAAACACAATATAAGAGAAAGAAGATTCAGTTGGAATGTATAGTCAATGGTCTTTTAAAATCTACCTTATTTCCTTCTAAACCTTTTCCATCTATAGATTTTTTAAATTTAATCGTCATCAAGCTCTATTTTTCAATAATACAATTAATTCTCATCTATGACTCATCTTATTACACAGAACACTTTAAGCTGCTTTATAGCATAGCATTTTTCTGTTTATTAGTTTGACAGTAACAACTTTAAATGCCTACATAATATTTTATAGTTTCAATGTACAAGACATGTTCTCCTATGTTACATATTTAAGTAAACTCACATTTTTTAATACTACAAAAATCTGGAGTTCATGTGTGTATCTTTTGGACTTTTTAATTCCATTTGTTTATCTCAGTTCTAGAGCTGCGATGCAGAAAACAATTTAGCTTTGACATTTTTTTCATGCCCACAAAATTAGTGGACAAGCAGTCTGAAGCCAAGTTTCATTCCACTTCTAGTTGAAGATTAACTTTTAATTCAACAGATTCATTTATATTATAATCTCATACGTTTATGTATGTGCTATTATGCTATAATGACTAATCTGACTCAATCTAATTTCTAGTGGCATGCTACTACACACATTAAAGCCCAAAGAGACAAGAAACATTAAATCATCCAAAGTAGACAAATCAAGCTTTAGAAAAAACATACTGTATATCAGAGAACCACACAAATTATGTATATAAGGTAGCTGATCAGAATCCACCACAATGAAGAATTTCCAATATTTCTTACCTCTTATCCAGGGTTAGGTCAATTAATCCCTTCAACTTGTATTCTAAATCTTCTTGTGTTCCTTCCTCATCAAGGACCTCTGGTCCTAAAAAATAATACAAACCAACCACTATTAATTTAAGAAGAAAAAAAGGAGATAAGAAACAAATAATAGCATACTTTAGCTACAAGAATTCTTCCACCTAAAACATCATTTTATCTAAAGTTGCAAATTAAAATGTAAAACTCATACATACCATCTTCAGCAAAACTGGAAGGATCACTGTAACCACTGCAATGGCTCATTGTTTCAATAGATGCATCTTCATCACTAAAAGGTTGAACATTTCGATGCTGGCCACCTATTAGGTAAAAAAGGAAGGAGGTAGATGATTTTACTGCCATATATGATAATAATTTAACTTTGGAATTTTTAGGCTTACTTGAGAGAAATACACTAGTAAAAAGAGATATCACAAAAGAACATGCTTAAATAGTCCTAAGTCACTCACCTACTGTGTATTTCAGAGTGCTAACAAATTAAAATACATATCAATTTCAGAAATATATTAATAACCTAACAAGAGGCACCAGAAACTTGATATGAAAGATGAAAAAAATTATTTCTAAGCCATTATTTCAAATCATGAAGATAATGAAAACAAAATAAAGTACTATGTCATAGGTTATCATAAGAATAAGACAAATATATTTGGTGATAATAATGACTGGACTTAGGAAACATAAACTGTACTTAGGAAACATAAACTGTCCTTGGGTTTTTAGGTTACAAATAAGGGAGGACAGTTTTAAATATAACTTGAATTAAGAGAAGGAAAAAAAGGCTTAAATTAGAAGTTTTGGCATTTGACATATGAAAGCCTGTCAGATAAATTACCTTTAAAGGAAAGACTCTCACATATCCAAGAGGTTAAAAACACCAGTGCTGTTATTTTAAAAATTTTTCTAAACTAGAATTGTTCTCTCAACTTCATTTACTTAATAAATGCAGTCATTTCAGATTTTTTTTTTTTTGAGTTGGAGTCTCACTCTGTCGCCCAGACAGGAGTGCAGTGGCCGCTCCCGGCCACCACAGCTTCGACCTGCTGGGCTCTGGCAATCCTT